CGTATGTAGATGAAGAAATGCTATAGTTAGATAAGTATCGACTTATTTTAACAATTGGTTCAGGCAGTTACATTGTGTTGATAAGAAATGAAGAAGAGCAACAGGAATCTCTCAGCCCCCTCTCCCTTTTCATAAAAGAAAAATGTTACTGCCTTCACTAATGAGAAAAATACTTTCAGTAACTGTTGAAAAGTAATGTAGAAAGTTACTGGTTTTATTTCATGGAAAATAATAGTAACTGAAGGTGTCTCTGATACATACTACTATATCATAACAAGAATTACTAAGGATTTTCTAAGATGTTGGATACATTCAGGTTTCTTACACTTCACTTTGAAGCAACTGTATACTTAATCTAAGACAAACTAAACTTGACATTTTAGGTTAGCCAAACTTTTGCTTCTTTGGAATTACTCTGACATATCTATGTGTTTCAGCTCATAGAAAGGTCTGAAACCAAATTTAAATTCATTATATGCAACACAAAGGCCTATCTGTGACAGGGAGCATGCAGCACTTGCTAAGAGAAGGGTGACTGTATTCCTGACATCTTTGGCTGTGGAAGTAACCCAGAAGTGAAAGAGTCATTGCAATGGGATCACCTTGCACATTTCTCTGAAATAATGATACTAGGAGCAGATCTCATCTTCAGATCAGCTTACACATCTTCAAGTTATCAAGCTAATCCTGTTTCTCCTCCTTCCCTTCTCTTCTAGGTCACCCTGGACAAGCAGCACGTAACAGCACCACCATTGTTCTGGCTGACTTCATTGTCCCTGTGTCTGCTCTTCGCTGACTTAGGAGCTCACTAGCAGCCATGACAACAGCTTATCCAGGTAACAGTCACACACAACAGCCCTACCCACTGAGAAGCCAGCAGACCCCAGTGCTATCCTCAGCTCAGTCACTGAATTGACCGTGACCTGGGGTGTTTTCTATTCATTCCTGGCCTTCATTTCACTCATCTGTAAAAGACAGGTAATTGTACTTGCCTTCCTCTCCAGTGAACTCTTTTATCAATGGGTGACAAGTGTCAGAAAAATAAGAGGTGAAAATTACTTATCCTCTAATTCTGCATCTTAGAAGACTGGTAACCAGGGCATTTGTCTCACAGATTTCCTTTATCCCTAAAACTACAGCAGCAGCAGGAAAAATGTGATACTTCAGTCACATACAGGAATCAGTAGCTATATTTACTGTTTATAAATGTTTTCATAAGAACATTTCGGTTAATTCCCATTGCATAAAAGAAAGTTTAAGGAATTAAAGGTATCACATCTCTATCTGCAACATGTCATAGCAGAAAGAAGGACAGAACTTCTAAGAATGAATTTGCCTTTCAGATCTTTGAAAAAGTCCTGGACAAGAGCTAGGCTGCAATGTTTTACTTTAGAAGTCAAATTCAAATAATGCCACTTTGTAATATTGTACTGTTCAGGTTGTTCAATTTGTAACAATTTCATTTTACATTACTATTTCTTTTATTTATTTTTTAAGTGGCCGTTAAGCATTACTAATCCTTTTAAAGCAAAGCAAGCTATTCGAAAAAATCTCAGTATTCTTTTTTTTTATTTCTAGATTGGAAGCAATAGGATAATACCCTTTAGTAACCACTAGGCTATGCTAACAGACAACTTAACTGACACAAAATCTACTTTAGAAAAATAATACCTGCTTTACATGCACACGGAAGTTCAAAGGCACATTAAAAACAAACCATGCATTAGGAAAGGTATTTAAGTAACCCACATATCCTGAGTGGATTAACCTGTCTAGCTTGTTTTTTCAACCCTAATTTAATTATGAGTTAGGGATAGCCAAGTGAGCCTTCCTGAAGCAAAAAGTACATCCATAATGCTGCTATTCTAACTCAACAGAAATAAACAGGCTTTTAGCATTTCGTATAGGAAGTTTTTAAGTCAAATTCTGCTTATTTCCTCTGATGGTTCGTTTTAGATTCAAGATTGCCACAGAAGAAATTCATAGAAATATTAAAACCCTCCTTTTTACAGATGTTTGCTTTACTACCTTAATAAAGAAGATATTAAAAAATATATATTGTATGTGCTTTGCATTTTAGACAAGGAAAAGGCTGCCACATCCTATGAGAAGAAGTCATATACACTACAAATTATGAGAAAGGAATCTGGAGGATCATAAATTGCCAATAATCGGAACTGTTCTACAAATCCCCACTGAAGAGCGACATTTACCTCATCATTACACAAGATTTCTAGCTGTGCATGATTCCCCTTGTAATCTATTGACAGGTTTAAATAGAAAAGGATGGTTGTTTCAGACTCTGAGAGCCTTTCATGCAAGAATAAAAAAAAATCTAAAATAAATAATAGGATTATGTTTACTCTAAAATGTGTATCAGCATTCCTTGGTTTTTAAGCATATAACAGAACGCACAGAAAAATCACTGAGTGTTCCCATCATCAAGTGTTTTTTTAAGAATCACATTACTGGAGTAACACCAGATCAGGTGTATGACTGTGTCAACACAAAGTAATGTGGCTAGTAAAGCTACCTCCTTTCTCATTGGTACAAACGAACTGCAGTTGAGATTCATAGTAGTGTTAAGTCATAAGGATTTTTTCTTAGAAAGATTATAATTTATAATTAAAAAAATCCCATGTTTATAATTTTATTTGAAATATAATTATTTGTTATGGCTGTGGAAACTCAAAGAGAGAACGTGATCTGAAGGTGCTGCAGTCCAGAATAACATTTGTGAATTAAAGATCTCAGTTCAAGTACAAGAATGTATAAAACTGATTTTTTAAAAGCATAAATGCGAGACAGGTTTTGAAGCCTTTCAGCATATCCCCTGTATCAATAAGTAAAGTCAGTCTTAAACAAGAGAAACTTTTCTGAAGCAGTAAAACTGCAAACCTATCATTAGCTTGGACCTGTGGGTTTTGCTGACCCTGAAGAATCTGAAATATTTGAGCACAGCTCCCTATCTCAAAAAAGTGGCCTCTTATTATTATTTTATTTTTATCATGATAAAGCATTAGTCTAATAACATCCCCTTTTTCTGGAATTGGCTGTGGGGTAAAATTCTAATTCAATTTTGAATAAATTTCGAGATTCTCAGCCGAAAGGCATTCTCTAATGCCAACAGATTGCCTTCTTTTCCCGTGAAACAAACATCTTGCATGTTAAGTGTTAACTCAGGCCAACACAGAAAATTTAAATTGTCTAGTCCAAAGATGGGGCAAAGGTAAAGCATGAGAAGTATCTAAGAAATAAACTGAAGAATTAGAACATAACTGGGATAATCACACTAACTACATTAGAAGGCTGTCATTAAGGCTGTAAAATTCAACTTGCTAACATGACAAAATTATAGCAATAAGGATGATCACATTCTTTCAACCTTTTATTTCCCTCCCTTTCCATATACTCTATAACCCTCTGCTTAAATAACTGACCACACACTAAAATAAAATAAAATAAACCAAAACAAAATCCTCCCAGCCCTTTTCACTATTCAGGACAGCAGCAGCTGCCTTCCAGCTCTTCAACACTTTATTTTCTCCTTCATACACGCTTCATTGCATGTTATGCAAACACTGCTTTATAGAGAGAAATGAGTTATTTGCTTTTCTACCTTGTGCAGGTGCACCAGGGAGCTGCAGAGCCTGGCAGGCACCAGAAGACTGAACCCATGCTAGTGCACTGGATCTAGACAAGGATGTGCCACAATTAACATACCATTTGAGAGGTGTTTAGTGAGTGTGAATGAATGGATGGAGGTTAGGGACTAACAGGAGGGCATCATGCTTCAGTACAGACAAGCACTTTTCTCTCCTCCCTAGGACCATTTCACTTCAACTTACTCATGCCAGCCTGGTCTTCCTGCTTTCTCCTGCCACATTATCCCATTTCCTTTATTCATGTATTTGCAGCTCTACTCCTAAGTTTTCTCATCTCATTCCCAGTCTCCAAACACAGTAGCTCCAGTTGCCCTGTTGGCTCCATGACTGGTTTCCCTTTCTTTCCTCACAGCCCATGGTCACTAGCCACAGGTCCCAGCTAGCAAATCCCATTGTTACAGTCCTGACCAGTTTTGGTGTCTCCAAAACCAAAATGAAGGCTGAGGTTGATACCTGGGAAATTTCAGCCCAAGGATGGGCTTTGTTAAAACGTAAGCTTTGTCAATATGTAAGGGACTCTTTATTATTAAAAAATAAATAAAAAGTATCAAATATAGGAGATTTTAGCAATTAATGTCTGTATATGATGAACAGAATATTAAGGAGAGATTAAAAAGAAATCTAAATAGCATTGCCACTACATTAATTCTACATTAACACGTTGAATAGTCCTCTTTTTTGGAATTAACATCTACTTACTTCAGAAGAAGTTAGAAGGATGGAAAACAACCCTGGTGATTGCTTTGTAACAGATACAGCCTTGCTACTGTCAGCAACACTATCTGGTTTTGCAGTTGGGATGAGGAATAGTGATGGTAATTATCTAGGGAAGCTTTCTTCATGAATAATCTATTTCATATAGTTTTGGTGTTTGACAGAAAAACATCCTTAAACTGGTATTTGTACCTTAATTCCTTACAAGAGAAATACTAGAGCAGACAGAGAAAGAAAAGAGAAGGATATGTTGCAAATACCATCATATTCAGGTACGTAATTAATCCTACTTTAATGGAAAAATAAATTTCTCCTAAATATCAACTTTATTTTCCAAAGTGCTATAAATTTTAACATTCAAAACCAGTTGCTAAATGACACTGGACTCTAAGTTCTGCATTTCAGAGTTAGGTCATCATTTATCTTTACACATCACTGAACATCTGAAATGAATGTTATTCCTGGTTATTCCAAACTTTATGTATAAAATGAGGATTTAACAAAACGCCAGGCTATAGGAACTGTTGTGCACATTTATAATGTTTTACAAACTTTAGAAACGTGGTTGAACACAGGCAGAGTGAGGCAAAGTAATAAAATAGCCAGGAAATGGACACTCACCCACAGTGCTTCATGTGAGGCGGTTTATCCATTCTCACGGCCAGTTTAATTTTCAAGTCACTGTCCTGGCTGTTTTTTGGGACTATCATTTTATGCAGATCAGGTGACTTTGGGCTGTTGGATGTTGGATACAACACTACCTGCAAGTCATAACATAAAAAACTTCAATGAGTTGATACGAAATAAATCTGTTAGTCTTTAATGGAAATTTCTAAGCAGTGAAGACTCCTGTTGCATCTCCTCCAGTCTGAAAGTCGACTGAAACCTGTTTCATGAATCCAATAAGCCTGTTGACTCAATCTTATTGTAACAGACAAATTTCCAAAATGAACTAATTTTCTTACAAATGGGAATTTTCGTATTTTGAGTTAATAAAATTTCCTCCTCTGTTAGTTCATTCTGAATTCGCAGTTTTAAACAAAAAGGAACAGTTGACACTTGAAAACGGTCATGTATAATTAAATAAGAACCTGACTTTTACATTACTCAGTGCACTGCTGGAAGCATCCTATTGAAACAATTTACTGTAACATAATGCAGTGGCTCACTCCTTTAGTCATGACATTGCTTGATGGAAGAAAACCAAAATATGCTCTTTCTTACCAAATCCATTTTGAGAAACTGGAGATTAATTCCAAAGTATCTTTGCTGCAAGTGGAGTATAATAAACGTAAGGTATTACCTCCAGTTAACATGTGATATGGTATAAACCTTTTGTTTAATCTACATTGGCAGACTTATAAAAAATGAAAAATACACCAAATTTTAAATATTTAATTTTTGCAACTACTAGCTAACCATTAGATTTGTATTAGTCACAGGCTGTTATATATTTATATATTTACCATCCAGAAAGTTTATCTATTTATAGCCAATACAATTAAATAGTACTACTTCATGAAAAACTTAGCTGCAGTCATACATTTGGCAGTTAAATGCTGCTGAAACATAACATCTCCTTCTTTCTTATTACTAAATCAATTTTTTGAATCAATTTAGACTTTGAAAAATTCTAAAGATGTTATTTCGGAGACTTTCATAACATTCAGTGAGTTCTGAATTACCATGATCATGAAGCAGTATTTCCAAATAAAAACACTCTAAAACGCAGCATTCTTCACATTTATTTCTTGGGGGGGAAAAAAAATCATGTTAACTGTCAAGTTAGTTTCTTATACATAGTATTTGTGCCTTGTGTCACATATATAATACACAATATATTCTCCTCTGTGCTATTACAGAAGTTAAATCAAGCATTTGAGGAAGAATCTCCAAGCAAGCATAAATCTAACAGATCTTATTAAGACAAAATAGATAGGGTCATTCAGATCTGAAAGATGATGTAAGCTGAATGTCTTCAGCTTCTCATCTCAGTATTTTGCAGAAACACGTTCCTGCATCCCTTTAATATCAGGAGCTCTATTGAAGCAGAGAAATATGATGCTTTCCCCGAATCACGTATGCAACCTTTATAACACCAGTGGGAGAAATAACCTGTCAGATCTATTGAATACATTCACTGCCTTTTAAAGAGATAGTAGGAGAATCAGCATATTCTGGTTTCAATAAATCAGAAGGCTACTTTTTTTCTTTTCACAAATAGCAAATACTATTTAGAACAAAGCTGATTCCTTCTTTCCAAGAAACAAGCTGATTTTCATTCTGAATAAAAGCCATCTCTTAAAAAACATTTACAAGCATTATGAGTATGGCAACCTTTGCATTTTGATGCACTGAACAGAAAATGGTTTTTAGTTTGTTTATCTTTTTAAATGCAAGATTATATAACAGGATTATTATTCATTGCTTGCATTTAAATCCCTTGGCATTCACATAGGACTGTAGGTGATGTTACGAATTTTTCCTTTTCTACAGACTCCAGTTCTTGTTGTCCTGCAACAGCTTATTACAGCTCATGCATCTCAAGTGACATCTTCCTCCTGTCAATTTCTTGAGTTTTTAGAATGCTGATGCAAATACCAGCAGACAAGTGTATAATTAATTCATAACTTCAGTACTGACAATCCTTTTCTGAATTTTTAAAGAAGTATTTTACAGCTTCATTTTCAAAGCTCTCACAATGAATAAGTATCTGGCAGAATATTTAAGTATGCAACTGTGCTGTGCTTATATTACACTTTCTCATGCCTTCCAGCTTTAAACAATGAGAGCTAAAATAACTTTGTCATCAAACTTTTTATCATTACAAACAAACACACATATGCACATGCACACAAAGCATTTGTCAGGCATTATCTTCACAACAATCTTCATACTAATATTGCCCTAGAGGGAAATTGCTAACCATTGTGCACCATACCATCAGGTGGCACAAGTTGTAAACTCCCATGAAATCACTGAAACCAAAATACTGGGCAAATGTTTCTTGATAGGAAAAGTAAAAAGTTACTGAAATTTGTGTTAAAAGTGCTCTCTCCGCTACAACACACTGCAGTGCAATGTCACTGTCATTGTCCATGGAGAAGCTTTCTAAGAATCTGGCTTGGATTTCCTTTCAGCACTGCTTATGGGATTTTAATCTTCTAGGTGTTGTTCTATAATTTACTTAAAAAAATAAATGGTATCAACTCATATGTCTTCTCTGAGAGATATAAAACTCACCTACAAGATATTCTTTCACTGTGCCTAAAACTTCTAAAAGTAGAAAAGTAGAAGTTCTTCTACTTTTAGAAGTTTTAGGCACATTCATAAAATTCCTACTACATCATACATTTATGAATTAAATTTTATTTTATATTTTATTTTTTAATTTATTTTATGCTATTGTTCAGATATCTGTGATATTTCACCATAGCAGATTATCCAGCAGCAGCAGCAGAGAACTGTGAGTTGTTAGTCTAGGACTGTATTTACAAAAAATAAACTAAGAGGTAATCTGCATTAAAAAATGTAACGAACTATTAGTGATCAGAATGCCACACACCTAACATAGCTGCTGTGCATGGCATTGCTTCAACTGATTTGCGGCAAATTGGTAGTGTCAGAACAATGTGGGTTGAGATAATTCAGTAAATTCAACCATCTCATGATCATTAAAAATGCTCAGCCATGTGGTCCAATTATATCTAGCACTGCATTTCCTCAGACCACACTGTAATGGAAAAAATGCCAAGTTCATTTTATAGCTCTTCTCATTCATATGTAAAATAAACACAGAAATCTTCAATATTATAGAGCAACACATTTATGGCTTCATGCAAGGTGATGTTCTCACAACACTGTTACTTAATTGTAAATGACTGAAAATGTTTCTCTCCTGGGCTTAGAAGATGACAGGTTGAAAGACATGATGCTAATATCATTCCATGACTTAACTAACCATCATTTATCTTAGAATCATAGAATAGTTAGGGT